AGTCTCCTCTACCAACTATGTTAAAACGGAGCACTCATGGAGAAAGAGAGAGAGGGAGGGAGGGAGGGGAAGGGGGAGTGTACATGAGCTCACAATCGTTATCAGGTTTGTCAGTCAGATGTTACTGTACTACTGAAGTTAAATAAGGAGCCTTTACTTTTACCTTTTAACCAACGAAACACAAACAGCTCACAGCCAACAAACTTGTTACACATGCTCATACGTTCCATGCACTGTAATTACATTGTATTAGTGGAATGGTGTGAAAGTAATACTGCAACGGTATTAAAAAGGAAAGTTGTGCGTGGACCTCACCTATGAGCTTTGTCTTCTTTTAGAAGTTGCAGTTTGTAATAAGAGTTTGTGCCTCTCACGATATCAACCAAACCAAGAGTAGCGCTGTAAACATCTCCATTTTCCTCCAGCACGTGACAAGAATCTTCCATCTCTGACAAAGTGAAAGAAGAGCAGTTTTTAATAATTAAGTGTCGATTACTATAACACGCTACGCTATGCAATGATTGGTTGAAAAGTATCTTGCCACTTTCCCACCCGGTCAAGAAAAGTACTCAAGGCCACAACTGTGATTTGCTAACAGACGTTTTATCGCGAAAATCCCTCGCTTGGCGCGGATACATGTATATGCTTGAAGATCTGTTTGATTCACTGGATCTCACTCCCGTCCTGTGATTGGCCAGCGTAAAGCGGGATAAATTTCCACTCTCACAAGGCCTCACAGGACTAGATGAGAAAACAATAAAACAAATAAAGATGACGATAAGATCTGGCCATAAAACAAAAGAGCTGCGACATAGAGAGGCTTAGTGAAATAGAGGTTTAAAAGAGTTGCGACGCTTCTTCCTCAAGAATTCCACTGATGCACTGGTACCTGACTCAGGGTCCACAGCTGCCCCTCCCTTTACAGCGACCTTCATCTTCTTTGTAGGACCTGGAAAAGATCATCAATAAGTATACAGGGCTAAGGATGATAGAATAGTCTGATACAGAGCCGTTCTTTGTGTCGTCAAGCAAAACTCCTCATGGGGAGGCGCGTTACTTGACGACACAAAGAACAACTGTGTCGCAGACTGTAAATAACCTGCAACATCCTCTCAATGTATAGGAGAGAATCAGTCAACATAATATACTGTTCATGCCCTTAAGAACCATCCCTACTGCTCGGTAGCTTTTATTTGAATGGTCGCTCAAAATTTCATGCTCGGACTAAAAAAGTTAGAATCACCTTGTACAACATAATAAACAACACTACAGAAAAGAACTGCTCAGTAGCTTTCATTTGAATGATCACCCTATAGGATTTCGTACACAGACTCAAACACACTTCCCGCAGCATATACAGGATGAAACAGAGAGTAGTCCCCGGGCGGNAGCGGGATAAATTTCCACTCTCACAAGGCCTCACAGGACTAGATGAGAAAACAATAAAACAAATAAAGATGACGATAAGATCTGGCCATAAAACAAAAGAGCTGCGACATAGAGAGGCTTAGTGAAATAGAGGTTTAAAAGAGTTGCGACGCTACTTCCTCAAGAATTCCACTGATGCACTGGTACCTGACTCAGGGTCCACAGCTGCCCCTCCCTTTACAGCGACCTTCATCTTCTTTGTAGGACCTGGAAAAGATCATCAATAAGTATACAGGGCTAAGGATGATAGACTAGTCTGATACAGAGCCGTTCTTTGTGTCGTCAAGCAAAACTCCTCATGGGGAGGCGCGTTACTTGACGACACAAAGAACAACTGTGTCGCAGACTGTAAATAACCTGCAACATCCTCTCAATGTATAGGAGAGAATCAGTCAACATAATATACTGTTCATGCCCTTAAGAACCATCCCTACTGCTCGGTAGCTTTTATTTGAATGGTCGCTCAAAATTTCATGCTCGGACTAAAAAAGTTAGAATCACCTTGTACAACATAATAAACAACACTACAGAAAAGAACTGCTCAGTAGCTTTCATTTGAATGATCACCCTATAGGATTTCGTACACAGACTCAAACACACTTCCCGCAGCATATACAGGATGAAACAGAGAGTAGTCCCCGGGCGGAGCTGAATGGAGTACTCTTGTAATTAACTACATGTACTGTATTCTAAAACCAGCCTAAGATCAGCATTCAGCAACACTAGGGTATGTGAGTCAGACGATGTGATAGTGATAAAGTGGCACTGAATTTTACATTGTAGTGTGCTGTTTCACTTGCATTTCGAGTGCATGACTTTCTGAAAATTGGAAAAAAATTAATCCCTAGCAAGAAAAAATAAAGCAGCAGTTGTTGCTGGTTCGACAATATCCATTCAAACATTTTCTTTAGCTGTTCAGACGTTAGACTTCAACTGTTCAAAACTTTTCTGCAGCAGTTAAGCGTTCACGGTAACCGTTTTAAGTGGCTTGTCTATCCGTTTCCTATCAGTTCACTTGCCGTTCATTCAGCCTTTCGAATGGATGTGGAACGGTTTCGAGTCACAATAATCTATTAAGTTCCCGCAAAACTAAAAAATGGGCGATCCGCAAAAGTAAAATTTGGCAAAAAATTTTTCCTGCCACTCGGTACTTTACTTGGCCGATTATTTTATATTTTTATTCAAATGCTGATAATTACCTCCTTCGGATGAACGTTTGGTTAGCTTTGATTTTCCAACTGATGGAGGGACTGGTGCATCCACTACACTGGTACCCTGGAGAAAGCATTGCACATTACACTCAGATGATGATTTAGCTTGCAGCATGCTCTTCATTTCGGTTGGTAAGTTAAGCAAGCCTCGCAGGAACACACAAGTGGGTGACAGGAAAGGTGGTACTAGGAAAGAACTGCTTATTTGCATGGTCGCACTTCAGGATATCATGCGCAGACAACGTACATGAAAGCCAAACGTGCACATGTATTGCAGGTGGAAAAAAGCATGCTACTACCGGCTGAAAATAAACGATCATTCGCTTACACAAAACCATGTGCAATACACACTTGTCACTAGAGTACACTTCCAAAAAAGTCCTTCGTTTTATTTCATATGGTGACTTTGTTGCTCCCTCGGCCACTTCAAGGCCTAAAAAGGCTGGCCGGCTCGTTCTACGGCTTTTTCTGCGGTGCAACTCATGAGGAAGACTTGTGGCAAGTCTAAATTCACACATACACAGCACACACAAACTAAACAAGTCTTGAAACCAACCTTCTTGCTTCCCCATGAGGAAATGCTATGCTGTGAGATCATCAGGATAGCCCCACCCTTTTTAACAGCATCTAAGTAATCTTCACTAACAACCGGAACATCAAACTTCTCAGCATCCCGCATTTTTTTGCTTTTCTTATCTACTTCAGCTAGCAAAAGAAAAAGAGAGCATTTTGGGGTAAAAATGAGCACACATTACTAACAATTACAATAAACTGCCAACAGCAACTCTTGCAAACTGTTTGTGCTATTAAAATTCATGTGAATTGTCTCAGGTCCCGTTTATATGGAGAAAGGGTTACCGGTCATTTCGATACAAAGTCGAAATTTTTGTGCAATTTCACTTCTTGAATTTGTATCGAAATGACTTGTATCGAAACGCCTTTGTATCGAAACGACCGGTTACTAGAGAGAGCTTGTCTTGGGTAAAAGAGTCCCTAGCATACCTGAGCTACCATGGGCCAGCCAACTTTTCCTAAATTTCCTTACAAAACTTTGCGAACCCTTTACATGAGAGACAGTTGGCTCTGATAGAGGGGTGACCTGCCTAGCTGGTGTTAGGGTAACCACCTGGGCCAACTCTTCTTCATATAAACACTTTAGCTCACCTAGGCGGGTCACCTCGGTTGTAACCTCGGTTGAGAACAGACAATTAGAGCATGCGCGAACAGTTATCAGCTCTTGGCTTGCGCAAAGAAGTCACCTTTTTTCCGATATAAACGCTTGCTTAAGTTGACTCAGCTGGGAGGGTGACTCTCTTTCCCAGAACAACTTTTCTTCAAACACTCTTATGAGTAAAATCACAATTATTGGTAATGTCTGGTGCAACGTATTACATGATTGTATATACCTTGAGAACTGATACAACAGTCGACAGAAGCATTGACCTTCTCAACTACTGATCCTCCCAGATCCTGTATCACTGTTGAAATTGCATCCTAAACAGTAGGTTTAGACATAATAATGTTAACACGCATTAAGGCAACAGGAAATAACAAGTCACAAAATTATCTCATTGTACTGTTGCTGAGCATTTAGCACACTGAGTTTCATTGTTCAGCAAAAAGAAAAGAAAAGAAGAGAAAAGACCAAACAAGAAATAACAGCAGTAACAGTGTTCGAGTGGTATTAAAAATTAAACGAAATGCACATAACCTTGCTCTGCTGTAGTCTCCCAATTATAGCAAATTTCATGTCAGAAAGAGGCTTGTTTGGAGTGGCAGCAGCTGAAATTGGTGCAGCCCTAAATGGAAAGTTTGAAAAATAATATGATACAAACAGGACATATATCCAAAATAAGAAAACACAAAGAAAACTCAGTTGAGATACATTACCTAAGAAAATTTTATACCCACAACCAACCACAATCGAACAGACAAAATTTTAAGGATCTTGTTCACTGTAGGTAGTGTCGGCCGATCTATCGGTCAATATTAATAGCGGTTGAATTTCTAATCCCTTCTGTGTGGGAATATGATCCTCCATGATGATGTGTTGATTTTTAAACAATGTTCTAGATTTTAACATAAGGACCTGTTTACAAGGAGAGAGGGTTACCCTTGTGCTAGGGTTACCCCAAGCAAATTTCACAGGTAGGGTTACCCTATCACCTGGGTCAACTTTACCAACGTTGCTGTCGTGTTTTGTCATGCATGACATTCTTGCATCGTCCAAGATTTGAAATAAAACATGAAGTTCTCAATGGGAAACATGTTAAATTCACAAAAAAAAAACAGGAAAATATTATCATCATGCACAGAAAATACCTTACAGTTATATTGTTCAGATGTTTATTATTTGGCTCAGAAATTGAATCCATGTAACAATATTCTGTTCACGTTGTCAAGATTACTGGTCAAGCATGATGGGGGAAAGTTGTCCCAGGTAGGTGAGTTATCCCTAGCGCAACGTTTACAAGGCAGGTAGGGAAACAGGTAGGTTAACCGTCTTACTAGGGTAACCCTAGCACTCAGGTAGGGTTATTCTAGTGCTAGGGTAACCCTACATGTACCTGCCTTGTAAACACGTCATGTAAAAAAAGAAGAAATGTGCGAGTGCAAGGGTTACCCTCTTGCTAGGGTAACCCTTACACTGGGGTGACCCTCCCTCCTTGTAAACAAGGCCTGAGACATGAACATAAATTATGGGGAACTGTGTGTGTTTAGTAAGGAGGGATGGCAGAGACCACTGTTCCAGGTACCCTGCCCAGGACAGGTACAAATTACATTGAACAACATGTAACAGCTACACTAGGGAATATAAGTACAGAATGTTGGTGTGAGGATTTTAATTTCTACTAAAGCCCAAGTGCTGCAACAGAATTCTATTTTCTTTGTAAACTACAGATTTCAGCTTAAACCACTGGATTTCATAGAGCAACAAATCATACTGCCATAGGAAGGTTTATTATTACAAATTATGGACGCTGATCACATACCTTGAACTAACAGCTTCTGATTTGACAACCTTGGATGATACTGAGGCCACAGCAGACACTTTTGGAAAAACTCTCTCTTTTTTCTTGCACTTAAAATTCTTCCTAAAACAAAAATATAAATACTGCACATTTATTTAAAATCATCGGGAAAACAGCATACAGTATAATCATTAACACAGTGACCCTAGCAAAAGAAGGGTACAGTGTACTTAGAGAAAATTTCTCACTGGTGCACTTACAAAAATTCTGATCCATCTTTCAAATCATCAGAAATTTTCCACTGAGTGCGCTTGGGCTGCTTAGTGACAAAAGTACACTTTGTCCAAGCTGTTAAATTGCCTGTACAGCAATAACCTTCCGTTCTACATGTATGAACACAATTAAAGCAAAATTAGTAATTGAATTTCCCTTAATAATAACAATCAGTAAATTGAATTCTCTCCATGTTTCACAAGAAAATGAGCAGTTATTTTCAAGGAGAATCTAACATTAGATCAGAGGTCACTTTGGGCTTTTCTCCTGGAACCTCTTCACTTATACTTTTTTCTTATTGTTGTTTGCTTTTTTCACCCAAGAGGATCCCTCAAAAAGCGTCATTCAAAACTCATGTCCTCCAAAACTGATTCTACAAAAGAATTCAGGATATTATACCTGCAATATCAGGCTCAAGTGGAGACTACCATCTTAAACATAAACCTTTTTATACTGCATCCTGACAAGTGCAATCGATAAAAACCAGAAATCGATGGTCACAACTTTTTTCCTTGTTAAAGCTATCAATTTTATGGATTTCATCAATTTTATCAAGTGTTATCAATTGTTGATATTGCGCTGTTGTGCTCAGTACACTCCCCTACGGTGCAGAGACTAGGACCATAAACCAGTTACAAGTGAAGAAGGCACATGCCTACATGATGTGCCATCTAAGGGAGATAATGAACATTATCCAAACAGAGTGATTCTGGAGAATGCTGGCATTCCACCTATGACTGATATTTTAATTCACATGAACCTGAGATGGCTCGGCCATGTAGAGAGGATGGACTTTGCCAGGATTCCCAGGCAGCTGTTGTATTACCAGTTGCATGATGGAAAGAGAAATCAAGGACGGACTAGGCCAAGATTCAAGGACATTGTAAAAAGAAACCTGGAGCAAAAGAACATTTTAGTAGGTACTTGGACGCAGCGAGAAAAGGATAGTTCGACCTGGAGGTACCTGATTAAGCCTTAAACTCTTCATGAAACAGTTATTGTCACTTTGACAGACTGCTTAATATATCAATTTTTTGTTTACTTAATTGATTGCACACGTACATCAGGACTACAGCTGTACATGAACTGGTTTTTCACTCTCTTTAAGACTATGTTTTACCAACCTATACACTAGCTGACCACCTTTACATTCCTCACAAGGCAGCAGTCTTCCAAAAGTCATTCCATCAGAGCATCTGTCAAGCAACTTAAAAACCAAACAAAACTGTCATTAATTCACCTTAAAGGAGCTGTGTCACGAATTCAGCCAAATTAGGAAATTACAAAATGCCCGTTAAATTAATAGAAACATAAAAATAACCGCTTAAACCTTTAAAGGAAGGTTTGAATAACATAACAGAAACAACAGATGCGGATGGGCAAAAGTGAAGAAGATTGAAACAGATTGAAATTAGGGTTTTTTAACTGTTCAGCCTAACAGTTTTTCAAAGTTGATCCCTGCTGCTTACAATTTCAAAATTAATGCTCAGGAGACATATTTGTTTGTCTCGGATCTCTGATTTTGTCATTTACATGCAAATTCTTTGCTTACTCGTTAGTTCCATAGCGATTGAGGGCGAGTAATTGGCAAAATGAAACAAAATGAACTGGACTGCCGTGACACAGCTCCTTTAAGTACTATTTGATTACAGTTCCTGCAGAAGTTCAGCCCACATGGTCAGAACTAGCAAATATAATGGTCTGCAGCAGTGTCCCTAAAAGTAAACTGAACATGAATTCAAGGACATACACAATACATGAATACAGTGTTTTGTCAGAACTGGCCTGCTCGACCATTCCTATCATAATGAGAATTTCACTTTTAATCAATAAGGTTCCTAAATAATACAGTTTATTATTCATTCAACATATTTCTGTCCCTGATTGACAAAAATCCCAAGTATAATATTCATCATAACCAGCTACTGTTGACCAAATTTGGAAGAAGCTTGCGATATGTGAAAAATGATGTCAGTTTTACAGCATAATGGCCAGAAAACTGGACAGTTAACCAAGAAGACCTGGGGATGAGTTTCAGTTGTTAAGGTAGTGAGTACAAAATTGTTTCGGGAGGAAGAAATAGGTGAACTAGTGGCTTAAAATATAGCAAGAACAGCAATTATACAACTCGATGGATGACATCTGCTATCTGGAGAATTAAAATCAACTTAATTAACTTAAAATCAATGGAGGTGTGCATGTTTTAGCTTGTTTTAAACTAGGAATAATTATTGAATAATTATTTTGAATCAACAATAAAACAATATTATTATTCATTCAAAATATTTCCCTGATTCTGATTGGCTAAAAGCACACCCATAATTCACGATAACCAGCTACCGATGACCAAATTTGGAAGAATTTTGTGATTAATCAACTGATGACATCAAAAGTGCAGCTTCCTTGCAGTTTAATTTACCGTTAACGGAGAAGACCTGGGGAAAAGGTTGAGTTGTTTTGGTTGTGAAAACAAACATAGCGGACATTTCACTCATTTCAAGAGTAAGAACTAGGCGAAATAATAGCTAAAAACATGGCAAGAAGAGCAAGAAGATAACTCGAAGGGTGACATCTGCTATTTGGAGAATATTTGTGGAGCTGAATAACATTAAATGTGCACTATTGAAGATGAACTTAACATTGATGGAGGTAAGCACGTTTTAGCTATTGTTTTTAAAATAGGAATTATTTTGAATGGATAATAAAACAATTATTGAATTCGGCTTTCGTATCTTATTAAGAATCAAGGAGATCTCAGAGGGTGTTATCCGCCTTAACCTACTGCATCGACGGATAACACCCTCCTCGATCTCCATAATTATTATTCTTCTTAAGATACTCAGGCTCATTCATTAATAATGTTAATTATGGAATTTGGCTTTCATATCATCTGAAGAATTATGGAGATCTTGGAGGGTGTTAATGTTATCCGCCGTCTCACTTGGGGAAAAATGTTGGGTTGGCAGAGGCAATCAGAGGCCGGCAGCGAATACACAAGTTAGCTAAGTTATTGTTCTTTTTTTGAAGTACACAGGTCCTCCTTTCATCACCACAGTGAAGGAGGCAATTATCTAACTGTCATTTTTATTGTTGTCTTTTTTTTGAGGGGTCCATGGACCGGTCCATAAAATGGTCGGTGGATCTGGTCTGTAGGGGGGTCCATGGACTGAGGGCAAGGCTGTGCTCTAAGGAAAATTGAAGGGTGCCCAGCGCTCTGAACCTGTAAAATCTAGGGTGCCCAGCATATGATTTGTATGAAAAATTTGAGATTTTCTGGTTGCCCAAGAGCAATAGTTGGGTGCCAGGGGCCACCCGGCTCTGCTAGAGCACAGCCCTGGGGGTCAGTGTTTTCGGGTCACCCTGCAGCAAGGCTTGCGTCAACCATCATGATATACATAATTTTAGAAATGATCACTATTAATTCAACAACTACAGCTGTACTTCTCAAAATGTACCAATACATCCCCTATTATGTAGTTGCAAATAATAACTCTATGAACTTACAGAACTCTCTCCACCTTGTGAACTCAGCCCATTGTCTTCCAGCACATCTCTCAATTCTGGTAGGGAACAGTTCTTTTTTAAATCATCCCTCACTTTCCACAACAGTTTACTTTGTTCCTGATAAAAAAGAAACAGTGTATTAATCTAGAGGTCTTTATGTATTTGACCAAACAACCACAACTTTCCTACACGTACAGGTATATTAGTCGGGCAGCAGAAGGATAAAAAATGAACCTACACTTGTAAAATATTCTGTAAAGAAATTAGGACTTACAAGAACTATTACTTGTTACATAAGTCATGGTTTAATATTATTTTCCTGTCTTTGAAATTCAGTTTTGCTTATTACATGTAACACACCCAAAAATAATTAAGGAAAAAATTAAGGAAAAATAAATTTAAACTAAAGGCAAAATGAAAAATCAATGAAAACATACATATAAAGTTGTCATTCCTTCCAGAAAATATTTTACCCCCAATTTTTTATTTATATAAACTTTGCATACCAAAAAGGTGGCTAACTTTCATAGGGTATAGCCAGTTTGTACTTACCGGTATTATAAATATTTTATAGTTATACAGTTGAACCTCTTCTGACGACCACCTCTTTGCAATAGCCACCTCTCTACAGCAGCCACTTTATTTGTTCCAGGAGACAATTAAACCATACATTAACTCTTGTTTAAACCTCTCTACAATGGCCATCTCTTTATAATGGCCACTTTCTCTTGTCGTCAAGGTGGCCGTTGTGGAGAGGTTTAACTGCAACACCAAATTTGCAGACATTCAAGCCCATTAGCACCCCCTGAAACTGTATTCTGCATACAATGTACATTTAGATGATGGGATTAGCCATCTACTGCTATCATTGTTGTGTTTTTGGGGGGTAGAGGCAAAAGAAGATTGCAAAAATTCCTCGTGCCTCCGCTGCCAAGAAAGAATGCCACACATAAGAATCCCACCAGCTATGTAGGCAACGAACCTTGAGCTGCTTTTGAATCTCATCTTCTTCTGCTGTGACTGTCTTTGTCCTTTTTGCATCTGTTTCATCCACTGCTGGTGCTTTCCTCTTGCCTCCCTTCCCTTTTCTCCCTCTTCCAGACCCAAGCTTACCCTTCAACAAGTCTTTATCTTCTTTCTTTAGATTACTAAAGCCAGTAAATGACTCGGCTGTTACGGAGCTTTCAACTCCCAGTGACTCGCGGTTCTCAATAAAGCATTCTACATGATGCCACCATGGAATGGGGACTCCTGGGGGGGCATTGGACTCTGCATCAGGTTCCATTATTTTTGCAAGACGAAGCTCTCCCTGAAAATACATGTAACTGAACATTAATTGTCATTGCTGACTGCCGCTTAAATGCAACCCAAGAGTGTGTGATAATGGCGTGAGCTCATTACTTTAGTTTAGTTGAAATGAACCGTTTTTTAATTGAATTTTTTTTTTTCAGAATATATATATTTTTAATGGAATGAATTTTTTCAATTAAAATTAAGTGGTTTTTTTATCTAAAGGAATTGTAAATAGGGCTTTGACTGAATAGTTTTTTAAAGTGAAATTTATAAATTGTAAATAGGATTTTATCGTTAGCTTTGTTATCAATGTAAAGGAAAATCACCACAGTTAAAAATGCAACTTACCCACTTGTGAAAAGAAAGCCTGAAAAAATTCAGGCTTGCTGGGATTTGAACCCTGGCCTCTGTGATACTGGAGCAGCCCTCTAACCAATTGAGCTAGTCTGAATTCCTCAGACCCTCCTGTATCCACCACTAATAACTGGAACTTACATTACATTAAATACATGTAACTAGAACATGGCCTCACCTTGTCAATCTGTTCTTTACAGTTTTTGCATTTGCTTCGCTTTGACTTGGCATATTCCACCTGCAAATCATCTGACACCCCATTACTAGCAGCATCAGCTTCACTCCCCTTGGATCCTCCACCTCCTACTTTTCCCTTAACCTTTTCCTGGTCGTCCCAACGGAGGGAATCAAAGCCTCCAATGTCTGTGAAGGTTTTCACATTATTCTTTCTAAAGAAGCAGCTGAAGTGAAACCAGTTGGGAATCTGAAAATAGCCGAAATTTTTCCTTCTGGATCAAATCCTAACCTTTCTCCCACACTCTCCCCTGGGGGGGGGGGGGGGG